TATATAGATCTGCTAAATATATAAATGCTACAATTAACAGCAGTCACTCAGCATTTGACACTATGATAGCTATATTGTCTGGTGCCCTTTGTTTGTCTAGTCAAAGCTACAGTTACTGCAATGGTCAATGATATACAGATAGACACACAGTTTAAACAATTTTACTAGAAATGGGGTAGTAGAAGCAAATAATTTGATCCTTGTAAAGGTGAGGTTTCTATGGTTGACTCTTCTTTTTCTTTTAAAATCCTGGGGTTACTATTCTGAATCTAAAACTTCAAGGTGATAAAGTTTTGCCAGATTTGTGCACTGATGTGTTTTTGAAATATGGGTTTCTGCAACACCATGAATCTTTGGAAATGCCTTTTAGCATTTCTAAGTCTCCATCTAAGCTATGCAGCATTGCTGCAATAAAAGTTTATCCTTCATTTCTGTTTACTAACTTTACTGCAGATTGTAAACCAATTACTATTAAATCACAGAGATATGCAGATACAGAAGAAAAGGTTGAGAAGGAAATATGTAGAATATTAAAGGAAGGTATTATCAAACCTAACAACTCTCCCTGGTGAACCTAAGTATTACTGCCCTCTTCAGACAATCACAAGGATGGTAACTGACTACTTACTGTTAACAAGTATGCACAATTTGATGTTTAACTTCTTCCTTGAATAGATGACATGGTGAACAAAATTACTAAATATAAAATATACAGTACTTTAGATCTCTAGAGTGCTTATCACCAGGAAGAGGAAAAATTTTACACAGCTTTCAAAGCTGTGAGCTAACTACAAATTCAATAGAATCGCATTTGTGTTTAATAATGAGGTACCAACTTTTCAGTACATGATTGATTAAATAGTAGAAAATGAATATCTCAAAGGAACATTTGTGTGTATAGATAATATGACCATATGTTGAGAAGTGGTGCTATTACCTCAATGGATGACACTTTCTGTTCATTACAGTAGTGTAGCTTTCATGTTTAACTTTGTCAGCAAAATAAAAATAAAAAATTACAATCACCTGCTAATGCATTGAAGTATCATGCTATAATTATGGGATTGCATACCAACCTGTCAAGCAGAACATAACTGATGAATTTTCTAGATTCCCTTTTATCTTTACTATGTCCTACCTTTCTACCAGCATGGGCATAATATGTTTAACCCAATTGTTTATTCTTTTTTGAATACCAACTCAAACATAGGTACTTCCTTCATGTCTGAGAGTTGAAAAATTTGTCTTTAAAAAATAATTGTAATCATACAACTTAGAGTATATATAGAAATGGGCAAGTAAAACAATGTAATGGCATAATTTGGAGAAGTGGGCTAAAATATATTTATATTTTTTTTATTATTAAAAACCTTTAATAAAGGCATAGAGATCTTGACAAACCATAAAAATGGTACTAAATTCATCTTGATAGCTCAATTAACAACAAATCTATGACAATTCAAAGTTCAGAAAAAACTTTTTTTTTGTCTTGTGTGCCGTTGGACAAAAAGCTAACTTTAACAATGTATAATTGAAAATGCTGTCTTCATACAAGTTAAAAATCATAAATGTAAAGTCATATATTATTAAAAGTATACCAAATTTTTTCACTGTAATATCAATATCTTTTGTAACATGTATATTATTTTGTAAAATTATATAATTTTCAGCTCTTTAAAAACAGGACAGTAGTGATCATCACTATCACAATTTTTGTTCATCTTTCTTGTGCAAACACTCTCATGCTACTGCCTTAATTGACTTAAGAGACACAGATTCTTATATTCCCTACACTCTCTCTCAATCTCTACTCACATGCTCTCTCCCATCTCTGTCTCTTCTTCTTTCTTGCCGTTGCTAGCTTTTCTGATTAATACTGACCTTATGAGTCATCAGGATTTTGTTTCACTCTTCAATTGGGGACTAGTGTATTGTCTTGATAGGGTAGATTTTGTTGTTTCCCAAAATCTTATATTGGGATTGACAGTGAAGTCTATCTCCTCTATGTATGTTGTGTACTGTAATTAAGAAAGAATAATTCTCAGCCGTGGTAACTTTTGTCTCTTTGCAGCCATGGATTACTTTTTGGAATCAGGGGTGGAATAAGAACTCTATCAATAAAATGCACAACACTGTTGATAACTGTAACAGATTTATTGAATATAAAAAAAGCTGTGTGAATAAAATGTTTCTATTGTCTACTGCAAAATCAAGTTTTTCTTTTGAGAAATCTTGTCACAAACACTAAAGTTATAACCACTCAATGTACTCTCAATCAATTCTTGTGTCATATGTGTATCTGCTTATATTTCTTAGACGAGGTATTGTAACTATTTACACTGTTTGGATTGTTGTCCGCATCTTTATTGCTATATTCATAATGTTTCAGCTGTTGTATGCTCCAGCATTCTTCAGGTGGTATATGTTGGAATTTCAAACTGAACCCTTTATTTAGTCTACAAGGGTAGATTGTTCTAATTCCAAGTGCCATGAGTGTATAGCAGCTGATGTGAATATGGTAGTAAAGATGAGGACAACAGCCCGAACAATATAAATAATGTAAATATGTGTGTCTGTTTTCACTCCAACCACAGGAATTGCAGATGTGTTCTTTAGTGACAGTTGTCTTAGGAGTAATCCCAGGCACCTTTAATCCAACTTCCTCTAGGGCCCATCTCTGTCTGTTTTTTGGCCTGCTGAGTTCTCATTTATATAGACAACACCCTACCTCCAAATTTGACATTGATATATTTAATTTCTCCACTCTGACCCTCTTAATCTTAAGAGATCTTGTTAATAAGCACGTGGCATTTGCTTTTGTTTTTAGAATTTCCTGTATATCTTTCTGTAAATATAATAATGTTCTGGGGCAGTCGGTATCAACATAAACAATCCCAAATTAAACAAAATTATTCTTTGTCTAGAATAATTTGTAAGAACACACACAGTATAATGTAAACCCCCTAGCCCCAATTAAAAAATTTGGATCATACATTAATCATGTCTTGTTGGGAAGTGGATAGGGTGAGGAATCTTGATTTTTCTCAATTTTACTGAATCATGGCTAGTTAAATCTGTGTTTGATTCTCCTTGGAACTGGAACTTAAATTTATTTTATTTTAAAACAATTTTTAACCTGTTTCTTTTTCATTTTTTTCTAAACCATTCAACTTACTCTCCTGAGAATTTTAATAATTACTATTAAATTAGTGATCCCTCCAAATCACTATCCTGTAATTTCATGCAATTAAACATTTAAACAGAATTAGTACCCTGTTACAATGACTACTTGTTTTTCCAAAATGGAAACAAATACTTTATAATAGTGCTTTAAACTGTTAGAAAAGACTTTTGGATATTGTGAATGGTTCTCCTGCATTTCCCCTCTTAATGATGACCGAATTTCTTTATAATCTTCTGATATGGCTAATATTTCTGAAACACTCCAGATTCAGCCATCACTTGAAACTTGCATTACACTAAAGACCCATTTGAAAACAAATGTTGATTCCACTTGTGCAATATCATCTGACAAAGGCTATTGGGAATAATAATTTCTGCTCTTTGTTGGAGCTGAAAACTTTATCACAGCACTAAATGGAAATGCAATATCAATGACTTAGCCAATGTAAAAATTGGAATCACAATATACTATAACACATTGGTCTTGGTGCTAGTAACTGAAGGTCACCTGATGTGATTCTTCTTCTTCACAACTGCTAGAGTTGTTTAAATATTCAGAATCACTGAGTGCTTTTTCTTTCCTTTGTCTTAGAGGTAGAGATGAATCAACTGGTTTTCCTGTCATCAAGTAGATGCAAAAGTTGATCTTTCAGTGCTTCCAAACTACTGCTTGTTGTATACCTTTATTAGACTTCACAGGAGCACCATGCTTGATGACTAAGTTTATGATTCTCTGTTTTTCAGCAATAGCTTTGATACTTTTTTTTTTTTTTTTTTTTTTTGCATCTCATTTTTTTTAAATTTAAAGAACTAAAAATATACCCAGTTTATTTTTGTTATTTCAATTAATTTTTTTTTTTTTTAAGATAATCATAGCTGTGGCAACAGCAATTCAAGCTGACAGTTTGGACTAAATATTGTTTAGTTCAAATTTATTTTAATAATATACAGTGTAACCCGGATATAAGAGATTTTCTCTGGTCCCAAATTAGAGCCTGTGTTACCTAAACAAAATAGACTAAATCCGGATATAAGAGACTTCTTCTCTGGTCCCGACAACTCTCTTATATCCGGGTTACACTGTATAAACAATTGCTTTATACAGTTATAAAATGCATCATTAAAGAAAATATAAGAAAAGAGATTAAACTGTAATATTCATTCCCTTGGTCAGCAATGCAAATTTTGATGCGTTGGACCCGATTCATTTACATAAAATGAATGCAGTATGCCCTCTTTTGATTTGCATACTCTTTGAGTTGTATGAGTGTAGAATCCCATTTCAATCTTTCAAAAAAAAAAAAAGAAAAATAAGAACCCAGGACACCTTTGGTATTCCAGCAAAATCCACACTACTAGGTTGGTTATTTAGGCTTCCCACATCAATCCATCTCATATTCCAACCAGCCACCAGCATAAATCTACAAAATGCACCCCAGCAATTCTGTTATAATGTTGTCTTTCAATTTATTTCTTAGCTCTTGAGTAGAATATTTGAGAATACATATTATATATAAATATTAGTTACATTTTAATAGTAACAAATCAGCATATGTGTTTCATTAGATTTAATGTTAAAAATTAATATCTAAATAAAAGAATAATGGTATTAGGAGCAAATTCTTTTATTAATTGAAACTGATTAACACATTTGTAGATATCTTCAAGAAGTGGGAATTAAACAACAGTCTCTATTACTGATCATTTTTTAAATTGTACTATGAAAATAAATGCCTTAGTAATGCCTTGTTAGTAAGATATCCTTAAGAATTACTATTAATTTTTATATTTAGGCATTTTAATCTTTTTTCCTGTAGGATGATGAATCTGATAGTGATGATGATGATGATACAATGGAGCTGATGGCTGAGCTTCAGAAAATCAAAAAAGAAAGAGTAGCTGAGGCTGCAAAAATTGTAAGTTAAATTTTTAGCTACTGTACTTTATGCTCCCAAGTGAATTTATATTATGGAATTAATTTTTGTACATCAGAACAAAAGTGGTAAGCCTGCCTTGAAAATTAATATTTGAAATTTTGACACATATATTTACATGTCTTCTAAATTACACATTTGTCAACTTTTGTAGTTGAAGAAAGTCTTTCTAAAGGTCATAGTATTACATTTCAATTTATTCAACTACTCAAAAGAAATGCATGTAAGCAAGTTAGCTAAGTTTCTTGATATCGACCCAATTTCACCTACTGCCACTAGAGAATATCAGCAATGATGTACAATATTTACATGTTTTATTCAGGCCAACCAAGATAATTAGATAAGTATTTTTAGAATTGGGTAGACTGAAAAGGAACTTTAATTTTTGGGACCCTATAGTACACAGTATTGTGACAATGAGACAATATGTGTTGCCTTTATAACTGGATTAACCCCATCTACAATATGCCAGTGTCTCTTACATGACAAGAATCTGCTGGGCTTATAGACTGTGTATAACATGGCCTCCTCCTCAGAATTAGCACAATATTAATTGCAGTCACATGTGCTAGGGTAAAGCTGAAAGTGAGGAATCCATGTCTGTGGCTGTAAAACAAAGTAGACTCTTTAAACCAAGTAGGTCATGTTATTTTTGTGGTGGACAGTTGCATCATCAGTACTCCTGCCTTGCCCAAAATGTTGAATACCATAGATATAACAAGTGAGGTCACTTGAAAGTTAGCACATTTACAACTCTGACTGTCCAGTACAATAACAAGTCTTCCATTGTCTGTACTGGATCTTCACTATCACAATTTTTGTTCATCTTTCTTGTGCAAACACTCATATGCTACTGCCTTAATTGACGTAAGAGCCACAGATTCCTATATAACCAAAAGGTATGTTCAGCTACAATGGTGGAAGATATTACCCCATTTAAAGAAAATATTCATGGCTTTGAGCAGTCCATATTCTCCATTCTTGGTTCTGTCATGGTTAGGGTCCAGCTAGGAGATAAAACTCCTGAATCTGTCTTGCACTCCATCACATAACTTGTGTTGTGATGTGTAACAGACCATGATGACTTGGACTACAATTAAATTCAGAAGGACTAAGGAAAATCTGCTGATCGACTCCTGCCACATGTGCAACATTGTAAAAAAAAAATTAAACTACTCTTTTTTTTAATCTGACTCCCAACTTTTTCCATGCTGCTACTTGATGGTGATGTTTTTCTGATATTAAAATAAGTTTTATTGCCTGAAAGTTTGAATTTCATAACTCCCTTTAACAAGCTTAATGTTGATGACTTCTGGCTTCCACAAGGAAAGTTTAGCAATTGATTACAGTCAAACTATTGACAAATATGCTTTTGTTGATGCCTTGCCTCTCCCTATGTTGGATGATTTGGCTAATAAGTTTTTTTAATCGGATTTACCCCAAGCAAGTTGGTAAAACCACTAAGACACAACAGATTACTGAGTGTGAAAGAATTAGAAAGCAGAAACATTACTAAGGAGTGAAAGCAATAGAAGAGTCATCAGGAAGACAGTAGATAACAATTGACATTGCATTTAAATTTTTTAAGAATAAACTTAAGCATGGAGCTGGAAGAGAGTTTCACAAGTGAGAAGTGCAAGAAAAGAAACTGCCAGCATAGCCAATTCAATTGTAAATTGATGAGACCTTGTTGCCAATCTAGTACTGTGCTTATAAAGTCTAGGTACCATAGTGAAGAGCTCATCAAAGCAATTACCATGAAAGAGAAAAGGCACAGAGAAGCAACTTTACAGTGGTGAGAAAATGACTGAAGCTGAGACACCATGTCATGACCAATAATATTGCTGATTCTTCTTTTGGATTTTATCAAGAATTTCTAAATATATAGCAGGAGCACTGGACCATATGTAGCAGCAATATTGTAAGCATGGATGAATAGTAGACTTAGATATGTAAGTGTCAGATGTCCAGAAATTGCTGTCGCTTTCTGTCAGCAATACGTCTAGTCTCGCCGAAGCCTAGAAGAGCAGTGGCCTCCCACGTCCACTCGCCAGGTTTTTTTAATCGGTAGTGTGGTTCTCTTATGCAAATAAGTCTGCTGAATAAAAATGGCAGTAGGGCGACGCACACAGCGACCGACTCTCAGAGAATGGTTAAACCTTGAGGCAGCTTAATTTGCTTTGCTCCTGGTAAGTCACTGTCACTTCTATTACACTCCCACCTGATTGTATGATCACATAAGTGACAGTGAGGGACTGGTCGTTTCACCCTTACACTCCTTCGCGGTGGTATAACCATGACTTCCTCCCCGGCTGAATCGTCAGATGTGTCCTGGTCTGAATCATATTCCGGGGGATCATTAAGGATCAAGTCTACTTCTTTCTCGCTTTCAGATGAGGTGTCGCTGCTGCTTGCACTGGAGCTTGGTTCTTGCCATTCATTACTCCCTGACGTTGTGTCACCGCCATCATCCGTTGGTAACAATGAAGTGAGCCGTGGACGTACATCTCCCACGTGTCGCGGTGTCCTGTCGATGACTGTGGACTGTTTATTCCCGTGACATGACCTTTCACAAACTTTGACGTGCAACGTCCGTGCGGATTTTTTACTCAAACTGCGTCTCCTTCTTTATAATGAGTCGAAGTCGCCCGGTTAGGCGAGGGCACAATGTCAATTCCTTTTATTCAAATTTTGTACGAATGCAGAGATTGGCGGGCACAGAAGAGGCAGACACATCATCCCTGGGTGTAATGTTATACCAATACACGGCCTCCATAATAGAGCAGCTCTTTTGCGCAAAAATCTGTTTGATTGTCCGATGACACTTCTCTACAATACCATTTCCAGATGGTTTGTACGTGCAGCGCGGTCGGAATCGGACACCCCATTCTTCCGTGAATTGTTTGAATTGCTGACTGCGGAATGCAGTGTCATTATCAGCCAGGATTTCCGGGGCACTGCGTTCGAAAAACACCAACTCCAATTGCGGATTACGTGTGCAGCGCCTTGCCAAACTAGTGGCCGCCAGATTGAAAACCGTGTGGGGTTACAATCGATCAGTCAAAAATGGCGACCGTTATAGTGTGTAATGTCCATTCCCAGGCGACTCCAAGTTTCCGCACACTGAGCTCTCCCTTCTGCCGCGTGACAGAAGCTGGATCTATTGACTGACGCTGTTCACAACTTGACGACCGATCTTACTGCTGCTTTTGACACAGGCGGGTTGATCCTACATGCGAAATATAGTGTCCGTTTAACTCCAGGGTGCCCGCTGTGTCGATGAATCTCAGTTAATTGAGCAAGGCTCGGGTTTCCTACAGCAGAAGCACATACTGGTTGAACAGGTTCAAGTTCCTTCACATTGTTGAACCATCTCTGGGGAACTCAGCAAGTCAGCTCGGTTCTGGTCAGATCTAACTAGCGCTATGTCAACGGAAAGTTTATACTCTTTCACAAGAGAAGTTAGAGTTTCAAGTCGTCGCCTTATGAGCATCTCGCTAGCGTCCTTGGTGTTCAGCCGAGACTTTCCCGTAAGGGCAATGGTACACGCAGAGGGTATTACATGTGAACACAGACTCCCTCTGCGTGTACGATTGTACTATTCGCCGGGTTTTTAATCGGTAGCGTGGTTCTCTTATGCAAATAAGTCTGCTGCATAAAAATGGCAGTAGGCGTGCACGTTCTATAGGTTGACCGACTCTCAGAGAATGGTTCGACCTTGTGAGGCAGCTTAATTCGCTTTTGCTCCTGGTAAGTCACTGTCACTTCTATTACAGTAAGATAGACACCGGGGAGAAAAACTGTCTAGCACAACACAATGAACCAACTTTCTTAGCAACTGACCTAGAATATATTCAATATAGTCTTTGCAATTTGTCAGCAGACAATATAAAGTCTGAGAAGACATAACAAGTTTCTCTCCTGGAGGTCTGCATCAGCTATGCAGAAAGGGGTCTCTCAGATACAAAGTTTTTAACATCTTAGACTTAAAGAATGCTTGCCATCAAAATCCTGTAAGAGATTCAGACAAGCTATTCATTGTTTTTTAGGTTAATCAAAAACTCTACCAGTTTCCAGTTGTACTGTTTAGTGAAACAAGTGTAGCACTGATCTTTTAATAAATGATAAACAACTTCATTGTTAAACACAAACTGAAAGACACTTGAATTTGCTTAGGCAACATAACTGTGACCAAAATGAACACAAACTTTTTTTAAGTCTTAGAAAAGCAGCTTTTCAAGATCTTATCAATCCCATCAATTGATATGTTTGGATATACTATAACTCAAGGTACTATAAAATTCAAATTCTACAAACCAAAAAAGACTCTACTTACAAATGCTACTCAACCTTGGAAATGTCATAGGTCAGAGTTGCTATTAGACATACTATTCCAAACAACCCACAAGGTAGTGGAAGACTTTATCATTGACTCCTACTACTCACAGTTATTCTATTATCCACTAATTACCCAAGTTATCTCCCTAATGCATTACATACTATCTATTCCTTGTGTATCAATATTAACATCAATCCCCATGAGGTTCTTCACATTCCAGTACATATGACTCTTTGGTAGATGAAGCATATCACAAAACATCTTCAATATGCTCATCTGCATTCTGAATGCATGACAATCTACAGTCTCTCTCTGGGTCATTGGCCAGTCCAAAGGACATAACCCTGAACTGGAACAGGCCTATATGGCATGAAATACAGCCTTTTCTCTGTCAGCCTTATCAAGGGTTACCTGCCAATACCCCAATCTCAAGTCAATTGTGGAGAAGCATTTAGCTCTCCCCAACAGGGCTTGTATATTGTCTATCAAAGGCAGTGAGGGGCCAGGGTTTTCAAGATGTCGTTTAGCATCTTGAAGTCAACACAAAATCTGTGCCCACCATCCTTCTTATCCACTACCAATATTATTAATATTGTGGGGTTGAACTCTGTGGGCTTTATGTTGGTGTAGACAATCCTCCCCC